AAGATTGGTGTTCTTGAATGATTTCTAGCCTCAAATGTTTATACACAATGTCCTTAATTAGCTACCTAACAAGGAAACGGGACTAGATAGCCTTTAGGCTTCGTTTTGGAGTTTACACCCCAAGAATGTTCTTGGGTCGTAAGCTCCCGGATCTTGTATTTTAGACATGTAAACAATGTTATAAAGCATATAACAAGCATTAAAACACATTTAGGAAAGTAGACTCACAATCCGGGATGAAAACCCAAAGATCCGTCAGAGAGAAAATGGATTTTCTCTAGTTGGAATTGTGAATAATGAATTAATTAAATTCAGAAATCTATTTATAGTCCTGAAATATTTTGACAGAAAATATTTTTATTCCGGAAGTTGGACTATAACATTATGAAACTTGGAATGTTCAAGTTTCACAAATCCAGGGGCATCCACTCTCCTGATATCTCCTGAAACATAAACCCTAATGTACACAAACTTGTTCGGAAAAGTCTGAAAATCACTGAAACTGGACTGGCTTCTATTGAATAGATATTGTTCGTACAAATGGAAATTTCGGGTTGTCACAAATTATCACAAAGACAATCATCTCAACTAAACATTTACTAGTGCGTCGACCTTGGTACCGTAGACCCACTTCTACTGGTGTAACATCCAGGAAATTTAGAAGTAAAGTTGAAGGGATAAAAGTGTACATAAGAAGGTCGACTCGGCGAGTCTATGGATAGACTCGGCGAGTCGATTCGTGTTTCAGGTCGCGTGATAAGTGACCAACTCAGTGAGTCGTATGGATGGACTCGGCGAGTTGGTGCTGTATGGAAAAAACCCTAATCTTGGGGGTTGAGCCCTATATAAAGAACATAATACCCACTACCCAGCCTCTTTACCTTCCCTTTGAGTTCCAGAGGCCCTAGATTCGTGTGAGCTTTCCTTTGTGAGTGATTAGAGCCTCGGAGGAGGACATCTTGGAGGGGAATTTAAGATCAAGAGGATTTGGAGCAAGGGGCTTTGCTGAAATTTGGTTCATTCTCTAGTAGGAGCTTGCATTGGAGGTAAGAGATCTGTTCTTGAGCTTTTATCCATCTAGATCTATCATTTGTGGGATTTTTGGGTGTATATCTAGTGCTATCTTGAGTTTGGAGGTTAGATCTGAGGTTGCTACCTCAGATCTGGAATACTGATGATCCAAAAGAGCATAAAGTCCCTGTTCAAGAGCTGTTGATGAAGTCTTTTAGCCCCAAACCTTAGCCCAAGAGTGTATTATGCTTAGATCTCCTTGGATTCACGTAAAGTTTGCCACTTTACGTGATGGGTGGCTTGTATAAGAGTAGATCTATGGATTGGAGACCCTGCATGGCTTGGAAAGCCTCTGTAAGGGTTAAGAGCTAGTGGTACTCGGCGAGTCACATGGGTGTACTCGACGAGTTGCATGAAGATAGGAAGAAACTCGGCGAGTTGGTTGAAGATAGCCTTGGACTCGGCGAGTCTGGTCTTGAGGTCCTAACCTTTTTCTGGTTAAACTGAGAATCGGTGAGTCAAGGGATGACTCAGTGAGTTGAGTACGGTTTGACTCAGAGTTGTGGGACTCAGTGAGTCTTGGGGCGACTCGACGAGTTGAGTCATATTATGGGAGTTTCAGAGCATGGGGACTCAACGAGTCAACGGGTCAACTCGATGAGTAGAGTCAGTCAGGAGGGTTGGCTTTGACTGAGGACTTTGACTTTGACCAAGAGTTGACCAGTTTATTTCCAGGGGTGTTTTGGTTGTTATTGGTATTTATTGGTTTCGATGATTCAGTGGTGGAGTTCGTGACGGTGGTCGGAGCAGCGTGATCTTATTCTTCAGTCGGCAGTAACAGGTGAGTCTTCTCACTATACTTTACCTAGAGTAGTAATAGAGTTATGTGACAGAGTTATTGTATGCTATCTATGCGATGTGTGGCACTGCATTATTTCTATGTGATTTATGCTGTGTGTATATCAGAGTTAGGACTGAAAGGTCCACAGAGCTAGGACCAGAGGGTCCACAGAGTTAGGTTTAGAGTTATGTGCCAATGTAATTGTATGCTATTTATTTTCTGAGATTTATTGTGGTATGTGATATGCATGATTTTGAGTTTTCAGAGTTAGGACCTTTGGGTCCATAGAGTTAGAACCTGAGGGTTCACAGAGTTTGGGTGCACGGACCCGCAGAGTTATAGCCTCGAGTGGATAATATGTGTTAGAGTGGTATTTTGGGGAACTCACTAAGCTTCGTGCTTACAGTGTTTTGTGTTATGTGTTTCAGGTTTCTCAGGTTCACGGGACGGCACCGGCTCGATTGTACACACCGGGGGAAGCGTTTGTTTGAGGATCCTGGTTTATTAATTGATTAAACAAAAGAGTTATGTATTGTAACTTAAACAAATGGTATTTTATGAAAAGCGTTAAAGAGATAAACTATTTTAATTTTCAAAAATTTGTTTGAAAATTTTCGGTGTTACAACTGGAAGGTAACTCACCTCGATGTCGTGTAGTGTCTGATTTGTCCTCAGCGTGCAAATCGACTCTCATCGACTCCTCTATCCCCACACGACAACCTTTCTAATTTATCAATTTGAATATGCAACCCTAAATAAGGTCAACTCAATTAAGACAAAGTCAACCTTGGTCAAAGTTGACCTGACTCGCCGATTTGGCCTACCAACTCATCGAGTCCATACTCCTCTAACCCAAACCAATCCCCGACTCTACTCGTCGAGTCTAACAAGAACTCGACGGGTTCACCTTCAATAACACTTCAGTCAATCTTCAACCGACTCGTCGAGTTCTTCCGTGAACCTGTCGAGTCCATCTTTAACATATGAATGTGTCCGGTCCATGACTCGCCGAGTTGTATGAACAACCCATCGAGTCTATCTTCATGGTTTAGGAGATTGCCTTGGACTCGCCGAGTCCCAAGAACAACTCGCCGAGTCCTATGATTCTCATGTCCCTTATGATCCTAAACCACTGAAGGACCTTCTATCCTAACATCTGATCCAACAACATAAAGGATTTGGTGGTCATTACACCCGGGCTCGCCGAGTCCATCCTTGACCATTACTATACAATCGATTTGAATGGGTCTTAACACATCAAAACCATAGATCTGGCCTCCTAGTATCCATTTTACACGTAAAGCTTCAAACTTGGTGTACATGCATGGGGCCTTTGGCTTAAAAAGCCATAAAAGAAAGTCTACAAGGTGCATGGGGTGTGTATGGCAACAAAGTGGGCACCTTTATGCCATAAAGACCCCCAATAACCCCAGATCTAAAGCACAAACTGACTTCTAATACTCAATCCCGAATACAACCTCTCTATGGCTTAGAAAGCTGTAGAAAAAGGTCCAAAATCAAGATCTAGACAAAGAATAGACAAGGTTTTTAGCTTTATACACCTAATAAGCTGGAAATATGCTCAAAACTCTGGATCTTCTTGTTTCCCCTTGATCTCACAAGCCTTATGCTCTTCTTCAAGCTTCAATCACACAAAATAACACCACGAGGCTCAATAACACACTAAGAACGAATAGGGTTTCGAGTTAGGGTTAGATCTGGACGATGGGGGCTGAGTTGAGGGGTTATAATGTGTTTAAATAGGGTGCAAAACCTCAATTTAGGGTTTCACTCAAACAACGCCTACTCGTCGGGTCGGTCTCCCGACTCGTCGAGTAAACTACTTAAACTTCCTGCGGATCACGACTCTACTCGACGATTTGGGCCTCCAACTCGTTGAGTCCCAAATAAAAACATAAGAAATACATGAATTAAAGACATACCAGGAACTGAGTGTTACATCAAACTTCATCTTTTATTTTTTCAATTATAAGTTTTGTTAAATATATCGATTTTTTTTTTTCAAATTTACTTGAAAATCCATTTGACTGTATAATCACCCCAATTGGTGCATATTTCTTTTGGATGAAGGGCAAGACCAATCAACAATTGCTACATATTAATTAGGGCATAATCACTCTGTCAGAAATCATGTTTTATTGGTCTCATGATTGATTAATTGCTACATATTTCTTTTGGATATTTGTGCCAACATCTAGAGCTTTTCCAAGTATCTAATATGAAATCTTGATTTTCTTGTATTATTGCAATTATTTGCTTTAGGTATAATAAAGAAATGATAGTGTTTGTATATTTTTTTAATAATTATTCAAGAAGTTGATTCGGTTATTTTATAAACAACAACGTTAAACTCAACAAAAAAATAACACAAAAAAAGTAAAATGATCATGTTATAATTCAACACTCCAGTTCAGAACGTCTAACCAAACAATATTTTTAGATCTTAAAAATTTAAATGCTTTTGACAAATTCAGTTATTAAAAAATCGAGATGTTGCTAAATAGCCGCTAAGAGGGTGTTTGAGAAATATTTTAAAATGATTTTTAGAAGTTTTAGCTTTTTCAAAAAACTAAAAGTTAAAAAAAAGATGATTGGGCATTTCAAAAAGTTATATTAAAACAACTTTTTAGTAAGAATAAAAATAAGCTTTTAAAAAGTCATGAATTTGTGATTTTTTGCAACTTTTAAGTTTTTAGTTTTTGAAAAGTCAAAAGATGAATCAAACATTAATTATGGTTATCTAAATGGTAAAATAAGGTGTCTTTTTAGCCAACCCTATTTTTTTAAGAAGAGGTTGGCTAAATGAACATCTCATTTTACCATTTAGACACCTTATATAGTTTTTAAGGTATTTTTATTGGTTAAAATTGCATTGTTTTTTGAAAAAGATAATTTAAAATAATTACTTATAAGTTTATTTTTGAATTGCTTTGTTTTTTGAAAAAGATTATTCAAAATAGTTACTGTTGACTTTTGATAAAGATATTATAAGATATTTTAATAAGTATGTTAAAAAAACACCTTTTAAAACTATTTTTTTTAAAAAAAACAAAATAAAAATAAAATATAACTTTTACCAAAGAACCTTTTAAAAAAACCCCCTCACTGTGGCAAGGGTCCGTGGGTGGGTCAACAAAGCCAAATGAATGCTCCTCCACAGAAATTTGATGATCTCAAACTCTGTCATTCATCTGTCCCTTCTCCCTCGGCTCACGTTCCTCCGCCTTTTTTCCAATGTCGCCCTCTGCCGCCGTCTTCTCTGTTTACCCGTCATCGGGCATCGAAACCCTCAGAACAACTAGGATCACAGACAGACACATGCCACCACCACCACCATCATCATCATCTTCATTTTCTCCTTTCCTTGGTATCACTCTCAAACGAGCCTCGCTTCGGTCAATCAATCACGGTAGTAACATGCCACGACGCACCACCCTCCTCATGGAATGGCAGGACTGCACGTACTTCTCTTCTATTTAATCCCCTAATGCGTTCGTTTCCTAAACCATTTTCCCCCTTTCAAATCTCGAAACTAATGGCATCTAAATGCGTACATTTAGGACTTGGTCTTATTCTCTAGGTTATTATTACTTTTTACTTGTTGAAGCTAACATAGTTTGTTAATTAAAGAGGGAAGCAGTTTTTGTCGGTTCAAAATTTATATAATGATGATCTCAAATCTGGAACTATTCTTTTCCCTTTTCAGTTAGGCTAAAATTCATTTCAATCTTCTAGTTATTGATTTATGCAGGGTTAAAATGGAAATCGATGTACCAATTTCGGTAGCCTATAATTGCTATTTGGATAGGGAAGCGATCCCTCGTTGGATGCCCTTCATTTCATCTGTCAAGGTGCGTGCTAATTCTCGTACATGCTTCGAAGTCTATCTTTGTTGTTTGGTTGCTAAATTTGAACATTTGTATTGTTTCTGCCTGTATTTTCATTGTCTGTTGTTACCTACTGTCAAATATACCTCATCTGCATCTGATGACCAAACTAGGCACTAGTTATTGTTGAGTTATATGGTCCTAACTCCTATCAATGAATATGTTGTTTGGGAATCCATATTAACGAATTAGTTTCCCTTGACATGCACATTGTTTTTTTTTTTTTTTAAAAGTATTTAGCTAATCCCAGTCTGGTGCTTTCAGATATTAGAAGAGAAGCCTGAGTTATCACGGTGGTCTCTAAAGTATAGCGCATTTGGGCGTGATCTTGAATTCTCTTGGCTTGCTCGTAATATGCAGGTAAGTGTATGTGTACCCCTTCTTCTCTACAGTACAACTACAAACTGCTTTCTCAATTCTCACATCCCAGTGTTGATTGTTGAATCTTGCAGCCAATCCCAAATCAAAAAATCCACTGGAGATCTTTAGAAGGTCTGCCCAACAGGTAATCATTCATTCATGATGGTTCTAAGCTACACATTATACAAAGTAGAAGCCAGATTGTCCTCATTGTTGCTGATAATTTGATCTCCTTTCGGACCAGGCATAAGGTCCATGCAATTGACTTAGGCATATAGTTAACTTATATAATCACCTATAGATTTGTGTGTGCATGCAAAGAACGAGGGAGTGAGGGAGAAAAGGTTTTACTTTTAGAAACATTAGTTATCCAAATATTATACCAAGTTTGATGAAACACTACAACTGGAACCATCTAGCCTGGAGATTTGACATGATTCCTAAAGCCCAAGGTACAATTTATAAATCTAAATGATACCAATGAAGAAAAGAAAAAAATCTTAATGATATTAGCTATATGTGTGTCTGTGTGTGAATTTGAAATTAAGAATAGCATTTTTACACTGGGAGGTACAAAGTGTGTTAGTTTTACTATCTAATTGGGGGGATAAGTTAATGAAAAGCATTGAAATCACACAATTCTAGTCGATATGAGCAACAAAGCATCTGTCCCTTGTGTTGCTAATTTTTTTGTGGAGAATGACCAACATTGGTTTGTTAGTTAATCTTGGAGTATATAATATATATGAGAATGTGTTTTTGTGGTTGCAGAGGAGCTGTACGATTTTTTCCCAAAGGTTCTTCATCATGCTTAGTTGAAGTAAGTCCCCCTGCCTAAATATTTTGGTTATTTTTTTTTTTTTCAATCATGGCAACATGCTTACCCGCTTACATGATGAGGATAATAAATGATCAATCGTTTAATGATGTGATTTTCCTTTTTACAGCTAACTGTTTCATATGAAGTACCTCAATTATTGGCCCCTGTGGCATCTGTAAGTCTGTAGTAGATTTTATTTGAGATAAATCTTATATATGAGTGGGAAGGGGTATGTAAACATGATTTGTCTTTAAGCAGGCGCTACAACCTTTCCTTAAGAATTTGCTGGGAAACGGCTTGGAAAGGTTTGCAAATTTTGCAAGGACATACCAGCATGAGTCTTGATAAAACACAACACAACACATTCATCATATTATCTTTTTTTCCGGGTAAAATCTGAAGAAGCTGTGTAAATTCATTCTGTCATGGTGATGGTGATGATATGTTTAGACTTTAGATAGATACTTTTCCTTAAAAGGAAATATTATAAAAACAATCATTTTTCGGCTCACCCATTTATTTACAGTGGACTCCATGTATGTATGTATGTATTAAAAACACAACGAATATTCTCCCTCCCTCTGCTTGTTTTGTTGACTTGGCATCACACCCGACAGGTTTATTTTGAAGCTGAAACACATACTGCTATTACCATCATATGGGTTATTTACATGTCCCATTTATGGTTTCTTTTTTTATTTTGATTTAGGTTTAGGTTTGGTTGTTTTGTTGGGTTTGTTGAAGATTCATATTAAAAGAAGGTGGTTTCCCTGATATAAATTCTTATACATATACGGATTTTGGGACGAAGATAGAACATGATTTTATATGCTCATATATCCAAATACAAACACAAACCCAAATTGTTAGTTTGAAGAAGATTGTATAGGGTTTTGGACTTTTGGGTCTTAGGCTTCCGATCCAAACACAAACACATTCAAAATTGTCACATTTTGTATTTGCTGTATATGATCCACATCTCCTTTGCTCAGATCTCAATCACAAGCATTGTATATCAACAAATTCTTTGGGTTTGAGTTTTAAAATCGAAAAACTAATAAAACTCAAAATATACTTGTGGGTTTTGATGAACATGGTTTAAAAACACGAAAACTACGGTTATACAATTGTTTTTGGTATGTGTTATTGATTCTTTATGAACAATGATGAAAAGTACATCTACATCTCTGTTATTGTAAAAATAAGTTTGGACCAATGAAACTATAAAAATATATATTGTATGAACACAAATTGAATTAGTGGTGGTGGTAGCGGTGTTGGATGATGGTGGTTTGGGGAATAATAATAATAATAATAATAATAATAATAATATATAATGTGTGTTTCTAAATAAATTAATGTAGATGTCATGTCAATGCCATATTGTCAATGTTCTAATAAAACTCTAACATATACTTATCAGTTTGGATGAACATAAAACTAATAAAAACCTAAAACTACATTTATGCAATTATTTTTGGTATGTGTTTGTTTGAACATGGTTTATGAACAATCATGAAAAGTACAACTCTTTTATTGTAAAAATAAGTTTTGACTCAATGAAAGTATAAAAAATATATATCGTACGAACACAATTTGAATTAGCAGTGGTGGTAGGGTGCTAGATGATGGTGGTAGACGATGGTGGTTTTGAGAATAATAATAATAATAATAATAATAATAATAATAATAATAATAATAATAATATATAATCCTTGTTTCTAAATAAATTCATGTAGATGTCATGTCAACGCCATACAGATGAATATGGATGAGTATTTGTCAATGTTCTAAAAAACCCATCATAGCCAAGACACGCCATAACTCCAACACTTGTACTTGCCGCTAAGTTTTAACCAAATGCCGCCTTAAATGATAAGAATTTGGATTGCGATTCGCCAACTTTAAATTCCAATTGGAGCTCAAGTTGTTGTGATCGCCAATAGCGACCAGAAGCGAAAATATCAAGAGCTTCCGAAAGGCGTTTCTCTAACAAAAACTTCAGTTTGTAGTGCAAAGGATTGCAACTGGAGGATGGATGCGATTGATTGCGAACGTATGTGTGACAACCCGAAATTTCAATATTGTACATCCATTCGATTCAATCAAAGTCAAACTTGTTTTTGGCTATCTTCTAGCCCTGTTGAAGGTCTGTTTGGGTGTGTTAAACCTAGTACCTTTAAGGATAAAGTGTTAGGAAGTATCGTATGAGTTCAGTGTGCAACTTACAAGCTGGGAACTCCACCACATGGAGTTTACGACCGTAAACCCCTCCTTGACCATGAACTCCCTTCCTTAAATATGATATCCCTTCTTCCTTCACCACTTTTTCCACCTCTAACCTCAAGAACTCGAATTTTTCTCTCAACATTTATCAAGTGTTCATCTAGATCTTCAAAAGAGTAAGTATTCCTTCCTTTTCCTTGTTGATTCATAGATTAACCTAGTAAAGATCCATGAAATTATCTTTATGTTGATAGATCTTCAAGTCTTCTTCATGTTTCACCAAGAACATACTTGTTCTTGACCGTGAACCCCCTTCAAGCCTCCAAAATGTAATGATCTCTTCCATCTTCTAGTTAGGCTTGATAAACACTTGATTCCTTGCCTTAAAACATCATTTAGAGCATGAACACCAAGAGTTTACGGTCGTAAACCCTTGCATGGCCGTAAACCCTTGTGTTGGTTCATGTTTTGGCCTTCAAACTCATCTAAGTCCAAACCTAGGACCAAGAATACTTAGGGATGCTTGTTAGGGCTTTAGAATGCCTCGTTTGCAAACTTTTCAATTAGTGTACGACCGTAAACTCCATGGCCGTACACTCATTAGCCGAAAACTCCCTTTGGTCGTAAACTCTTGGCCGTAAACCCCTTAGTGTGGCCGTAAACCCCCTAGATGCAATCCTTTGTGGTTGTAACACTTCAATATAAGTGTTTCCTAGTCCCCAAGGTGGTTTCCTTGTATGATTAGTTGTATATACACTAATTATATACATAAATGTGTTATTATATGCATTTTAGGATCTGTTGGTGCTTGAGATTTCACTTAGCACTCAACATCCTTTACTGATCTTACAGTCGATCCACTCACTACAGGTGAGTTCATACCCCTAACTAACCCTTTTAAATGATTTTAAATTCTTTTAGGGGGGATACAAGTTGAAACATTATAGTTATTATATCAATCACATGTGATTAATAATTATCAAACCAATGGATTTCTTATACTTCAAAGCTATGTTATCAAACAACTATTTCAAAACATTTTATCAAACTCTTTTATATGCAAAAACTCTTTATCAAACTCTTTTAAACTTATATATTGTCCAAAATCATGTCTATACAGATATAGTTATATAAATAAGGTTGAAAAGACTTAGGACCGATAACTCGCTTTATTTCCTGTTCCTTGTTTGGTTGTGGACTTAGAGTACCCTGTTGTTTGTCTGAGTGTCGTTTGAATGGTAGTTATATAGTATGTATATGTGTATAGATATAAAAGCTTTTATCTCAGTTTCAACACCTTTGAGTAGCAAAGGTGTACAATCATACTCTGTCATTCAAACAACATTACTAAGTAAACTATAATATGTATAGTTTAGGAGATTACTACTCACTATTTATAGTACAATGAAACATACAAGAGTCAGTTCATACAAGAGTCAGTTCATACATGAGTCAGTTCAAACATACTATAACGAGAAACAGAAAGAACATACTATAATACTATAATGAGAAACAAGGAGGAACATACTATACACTATACAAAGAGAGCATACTATATAATATACAAAGAGAATACAATACACTAGAACAGATATAGCATACTATACAAATACAAGAATACTATAACATAAATGTGAGCCACTACTTCGAGGCATGGCATCATACTGCTGTGTCTCGTTTTGTAACCAGAGTCTCCTGGACTCTATACTGGATTGACCATCCTACACCTTGTTGCTAGCTACAGTGGGACCTGCAGGTCTACGGGTGATGAATGTCATAACATTTCAACGTCTCTGAGCGTCGTGTTTACTACTAGTCGATCAAGCATGGTTACAATCATATCACATTATACCTTAAATAACAATTTATTTAAGGTAGTTGGTACAACAGTAGTTACTATATACAATACTATAATACTTTATTATTTTCCCATTGCATTCACATTATGATATTCTCACATAAACACGTAATGTATAAGACTCTATTTTGGTAATGATAGTCACACTTGGTAAAATACTCACTTTTACAAAGAAACAAACATTCAGAACATTCAGGTCTTGGTAGAAGGCTACACAAATACTTATACAAGACCCAGTTTTGACTTCCCATTAATCCTTATACAAAACCCGGATTTATAACAGTTTTGACTGTTGAGAAAAACTGGTATATGATAGTTTTGACAGTTTTTCAGACAAGGAAGGTTTATAACCAATTTTAGTCATTTTTCTGGTACTCACGAAATTACACCATCTCATTCTCTCTGATTTTCTCTGAGTCTTATCCAATTGAGGATTTGGAAGTACCACCCAAATACTTTGATTTGAAAGTGATTATCACGATTCCCAGATCTCCAAGTGCTATAAAACCATATTTCTAACAAAAAATATTTCAATCATTTTCATTACCCTTGTAACATGTTGAGAAAAGGGGATACTTTCATGGATATTACATGTCAAACAGAACACACATATAAATTATAATATGTATAATTTATGGAACTCTCAAACTATTTACACTAATCAGTTATACAAAGTTTAACGGTATACTCTCGTACAAATACTTTACATTAAAGTATACTAGAAAAAAAAAACATACTATTAGTTCATTTATTTCAAAATGACTTTTCATCATTATTATATACGTAATCGTTGATATGGTTTTTGTGAGACAATGTTTAGTTGTTTATTCATTTAGGCAATACTATTAAAGTCCCGATATTATAACCAGATCTCCGGACAGAGAGCGAGACAAATGTGTATAGATCTATACGGGATTAACAATCCCACACTCAAACTGTTCGCTACAGTTGGGCTATATGCCTATGAGTGAAAAATGTCGTTAACAGTTTCAGCGCCTACAAAGTGTCATATCAGGCCATCTAGTCATAGTATGGTTATAATAACTCACAAAAAGATATGATCAAATACGATTAGTGTATAATTAATTAACCAAAGAGTACAAATACAAAGTATTGGTTTTACAATGATACGATTTACAATATTACATTACAGTTTTACAATTACAGCTGGTGGAGTCAGGCATACTCACTTTTACAGGATTTACAAAGAGTACAATTACAGAACTTGGAAAGCATAAACAATACAGAAAACATTCTTTTTATAGTTTTGTGGTGAACTAAAACTATGTCATACTATTTTATAGTACAACAACACTTATACAAAATGATTTTATGGTATTAAAATTACTTTTCAGTTACAATAGAAAATATTGGATTTTCTGGAACAGTAAACATACTAATTATTCCAAGGAACAGAAAACAGGCATTTAAATATAAATACTTATGCACTCACTCAACTTAAATGTTGATACTCTATTTTCAAAACATTTGTATTCTTAGGGAACCAGTAAACTGGTACATCCAAGGGATTTTTGAGAAGATGGAGCAGTTTAGAGTCATGTCTTCTATCTTTTGATGTATATAACTTTTGATTTCATATACATATGACTTGAAAACCATGTAAAACTTATAATTTATTAATGCAATGGTTGTTGTACTTTGATTACTATGATGCACGTGTTGTGATACTTAACATGACGCCATCCACCCCCGGACGTTTCCGCCGCTATGGTTTGGAGGTGTGACAATTTTGGCAAACTAACTCCAAAATATTTCGCAAGAATAATTTGAGGGCAACTGTTAGGTCTAGGATCTCGGAACTACTATGAGATCCTCAAGTCAAGGGATCCTCAAAAGCTTAGGATCATCAAACCTCAGGACCCTAAATATA